TCAGGTGGCTCCTCCAGCTGGTGGCCGAGAAACACGCCGGGGTTTGCTCAGCTCTGAGACCCCTGGTGCCTTAGAGGGACACCTTCAGGGGCCCCTGAGGGTCACATCAGGTGAGACCATCACCCCCCTGTGGGAGGCAGGATGGGGCGAAACACCTTTCCTGTCTAATGGGAGGTCTGGGGAGTGTCAGAATGGAGCCTTCCAGAAAGTGCTGGGGGAGAACAGAGGAGAGGACACATGACCTCTGCCCGGAGCCGGGACAGTCGGTGACCGGTGGCCCAGAGCTGGTTTCGCACTGAAGCTCAGGAAGGCGTCAAGAGGTGGGTTTTCTCGAAGTTGTTCTGCGGAATCCCTGGGACCCAGGCGGGAGCTTCACGATTTTCAAAGGTCTGATCTGAACTCGCCTTCGGTTCTGTTTCTCGCGCTTGCGTTAAGCTCTGGCGCTTCCCGACTTGGCTGTTTGCAATTAGAAACAGCGCGGCCCTGCCCTCCTGCGGTTAGATACGGTTAGAGATCCAACTAGGAACCGTTTCTCTACCGACTCCTGTTTGCACTTCAATACAAGGCTGTCCCAGTATCGCGTGGCGGGCTCCTGTAAAACGCCTGCCCTGTGCTAGTTCTTATCCTTGGGAAACGGAGTCGTTTGACGCTGACCAATGAAACGCAGCGGGGAAGTCATTCGGATGCTGAATCCAACAAAAGACCGCAGCTGTTAGCCGTACCCCCTGCCCCCGTTTGTGTTCAACAAGAAAGCATCATTGTTCCCGCTGATTGGCTCCATCCTGAGCAAATGCTTTCAATTTGAACTGATAAATTTTTACTAATGAAAGATTGCTTGCACTTGGTTTTCCATATTGCAATTCCAGGAAATGCTCAACATCCCCCGGGGGTGCGGGGCAATGACCAGCCGGGGGCTAAGCAGCCGCAGAAGCCCAGGGGCAGGGCCTTGTGGCGGGCAAGGGGCGGCCAGTGGAGCCGTTCTCGGGGCTGCGGCATGGCAGGGTGTCCAGAAAGGGAGACCAGGCCAAGCCAAGGCACTTTGAAAGCCACATCAAGGAGGTGGCTCTTTATGCCCCAGCAACAGGGATCCTTCTAGAACATCCAGCCCGGTGTAGCTGAACAGGGCGCAGCAGGCCCTGCAGCCCGGCAGCAGGCGGGGCGGAGCCCTGTGGGGGAGCCTGACTAGCCCCATAGTTTGAGGTCGCCCTGAGCCAGGCTGACACCAGGGCACTCACTCTAGCCCAGGAACAGAGACTGGTCTCCAAACAGTAGAAGTGTTGACATCTCCCTTAAACGGTCATCGTTTAAGGCGACAACTCTTTAGCGTATCTTTTTCAAATGCTTAACCAGTGCCTTGTTTTCTATTACAGTGAACACACATACCTTACCAATTTCCAAATTACTGTTGCAGCTCTAGTACTTCAAGCTGTCCACCAAGATTCAATTTTCTTTACTTAATCTGCAGCTCTTTCTGATATTTGATGTGTCGTAGTTGATATAGTTTATTGAGAAACGGAAACGTGAGATTTCCTTAACTTAGATCTTGTACTGCTTTATCCAAAATTAAATTTGGTAACAGTGCCGACTGGAAACATCCAAATTTTTCCTAGATTTTTGGCTGGAACTCCGTACTCTCTCTAGAATTGCAGTAACAATTTTTTTGTACGGAATCCAACACGGTAAAATATTCCAGTGGCATCTTTATGGGAATATTTCTGAATGAAATACGATTTTTCTGTTGTTCAATAAATTGTATTTAAATGTGCTTCTCGGAGCTATAAAATCAATGAAAA